TAAATATTTCATCATAAGATTACTATTACGTGGCAAAATTTCTGTTCTTTTCTTGCATGTGTTATTTATAATCATAAAACACGTGTCACTCATACTCATGAGTCTCACAATGCCTGGCAGATAGTCGACACTCAATGAACTCAAACTGAATGATAATAGGGTAAGATTTATATATACAAGTAAACAAGGATTTATTGCTCAGCAATCTGCATAGCCCATGGTTAGCTATAAGCAGAACTTTGAGGTAGATTGCCTTTACATGAGCAATTGGAAAAGTCATTACTCTCATTTTTATTTTCCTTCTCCCATTAACGCTTATATGCCAGTGAGAATAAAGTTACATGAGTGCTTTTTTCTTCCTAGGTTGCTTACATTTTTAAGCATAAATCTTAGACCTAAGAGTTTTGTTTGCCTTTTAAAAATAAAATTAATTTTGAAAGATGTGATCAGGTTTTAATTTTTTAATTCATAAGGGGCCACTTATGTCAACCTAAATTATAGCACAAATTTACCAAACTATTCTAGTCATAAAGAATGTACATATCATAACAGAATTGTTCTTCAAAAAACTTAAAGCCAAATCTAATACATATACATATTAAGATTTTTGGACACTGATAAGCCAGAATATAATTAAGTGACAATCTAGATAGTATAGATAGAAAATTGGCCAAATTAATTTAAAAATACCATTTATTGAGTACCCACAGTTATTACTAATCCTCACAATAACCAATTAGCTGGCATTATCCTCGCTTTAGAGAGAACAAGGCTCAGATTCAAAGACCATGTGACTCAAGTCCACACAACCAGTGAGGGAAAATTCTAAATTCAATCCTATGTCTGTTAGCCTTCAAAGTTTGATTTCTTTCCACTACACTTTGAGCTGGAATAAAAACTTGGAAGGAACATACTCACACAAAGAAAGATTGATAGCGACGAGAGGGAGAAAAGTGCGAATTTGAAGGAAGATGAAGTAACTTCTCGAAAAGGTTTGAGCTTTATAGAGAAGCAATATACATAACTCTACCCAAGAAAGCTTAACCATTTCTTATGAATGGCTGAGTTTTATTTTATTTTATTTTTGTAGAAAAAAAAAAAAACAAACAAAAACTGGGTGGAGAAGGCAAGTGGCCCGCGGGCAAAAATAGCAGCTGAATAAAATGCTTAACATTGTGAATACTTACACTTAGCACAGGATTCGGCAAATATAGTTTGGAATACATAACTGTAATTTTTGGCATACACAACAGTAATTGCTAATAAGTACTCAATGTTCGATGTCCCTGCTGCTGAGGCAAGTATTCTGCATGTATTAACTGACATTTCTTATGACAATGCTACAAGGTGGGTGATGTTCTCATTTCCATCCTCTGCATGAGGATACTGACATTCAGAGATCTTATGCTGCATGCACACCTCCCAGGTCGGTAGAGACCTGGCCTGGTACAGGAACTCTGACTTCAGATCCCCAGATCCTACTTACCATGCTTCACTGAATGAATAGAACAATAAGGACTTTCTTATCTCAATCCAGTTAGTTATAAAACAACTTTTTGCTGTAAAGTTTTATCATCAAGACTTAAATTGCTTTTATAAAATAAAATACCACTTACACATATGAAATGGAGTGAAAACAAACGAAAGAAATTGCAATATACTTTGCTGTGTCATGAGAATGAGAGTCATTGATCCTGGCAGATCTGAAGCATCCTCTCTGCTCTTCAAATGCCAATCTAATAAATTGTCAGGACAAGTGAAATATATGCCTGAAAACTCATCAATATACATATGTTACAGTAAGCAGTGCCTGAAAGAACAATTATGCTTGAATATGTGATAAAAGTATTAGTGTATAAAATCCATTACAGCAGAAATTAGAAATGAGAGGAACTTCCAAGAAGCTTAATTTATTGATTATTATTTTCATGAAATAAGGGTGTTGGAGGGAAAACAAAACTTTGAGATAATGGAACAGAGAGGCTACTTAAGAAACATGTGTGATGTTTATCAGTTTGAAAGACTACAATGGACCATGATTATAATTAAGTTAAACAATTACCAATGAATACTCATTGATAAAATGAATACTTGCCCAAAAAGAGAGTTTCTAGCCTTTTGGTGTAGAAGAGAAACTGATTTTCATGAACAATAATGACACTGTTTAAGGATAATGCATGTGTGTGACACTGTACTAAGCATTCACCTACACCATTTTAACTAATTTTCTCAGCAATGAATTAAGAAGCAGCAATGAGTTAAGAACTCCATTAGATAAATGATGGGAAAAAAGGGGCAAAATTAAAAACTTGATCTATTCTACTACCATGCTGTATTTTTCATTTATAGCACATTTCCAATTGTTAATTATATACTTAATTATATATTTATTTGTTTATTCATTTTTAAATTATATGTTCCATGAGAAGAGGGATCGTGAATTTTATTTATGTCTACATATCTGACTCATTGGAGGCGCTCAGAATATATGTGTTGGCTAAACTTATGAATAAAAGAGAGGATGTTGGAATTCCAGAATCTAAATGCATAACCATTCCACACTCTTGCCTCCCCCAGTGTCTCCCTCTGGGTAAATGTGGATGGTATGAGTGTTAGGTGTGTAGGAGTAGCAGTGAGATCCTAGAATTTATAAGGGGATATTTTTAAAAAATCAAAGGAAGACATGATAGGAATTGAATTAACAGATTCCAAAGAGGAAAGCTTCAAGATTTAAGATCTGCCCTTTGATACTAAGCAACTTATTGAAGACCCTTGACAAACAATAAGAGAAAGAGCAAACAAAACTAATAGGACAGAGCCTAATGTATTAGTCACTTATCAAAATTTGTTGATAACTGAAGAGAAAGTATATTTAGCTTCCAAGTCCATTTATAAAAATATGGTTCTCCTGATATTTAAATAACCCCTGGATTCTTCTGTAATAAGGGAAAGGAAAAAATGTAATCAGCATTTATATGTGTGCTATTCAGAACTCAGGCTTTTTTTTTTTAATTGGAGTAAGATATCAAGTCTCAGCCTCATTATTTTAAAGTAGTAGTTCCCACAAGGTATGATTAGCACCACTATTTATAACAAAAAGCAAAAGCTTTAGACTTATTCTCACTATCCAGGAGTCAAATGGTGTTCACTTATCAACAAAACTCTCTTTGTTCTCAAGAAGGTTGAAGTTATTACCCACCAAGGACTGCTTTGCAGCTACTTTGAGGAATTAAGACATCTACACCAACTAGAGATGGCACACCATTTCTTGCTTATGTATATGCTATGTAGATGGTTAGATTTTAGCATAAGCCCTGGGTTTATCATCTAAGGGCAGATGGGCTTAAAATCCTGCACTACTGGGTATAAGTAACTTTGTGGATGCCACACAACCCCTCCAACTATCAGTTTTCTGAGACAGAATGATAATTCCTATCTTCTCTCATGAAGCTACTGGAAAAATCACAAATAAGATAAGAGATATAAAAACACCACATAAACCATAAAGTACACTTTTCATTTTAACATAACCAGTCACTCTTTCTTTACATTATTCCATTTGGTTTCTGCATTCAGGTGTCAATTTTGAGGATAGAAAGACAGTCTTATCCTCAACTGTGTTGGCAGATCCAGCTGAGTAAATGAAGAGTTAGAGCTTGGAAAATGTGCTCTTCCCTGCAAATAACAACAACAAAACCCACAACAGTCATAATGGCTAACATGTACTGAGTGCTTATTTTATGCCAGACAATTTTCTAACTCGCTGCAGCTAACCTGTACTAGGACAACCACATTCTGATGTTGGTCCAGGCCATGGGTGAACTACCATAGGAATGATCAAGAGCACCATTGTGTTTGCCATGTTTACAGTATGAGAAACTGTGTCTTCAGCCTTTACTAGCTGGAGAAAGGGTATAGAAATATTGTCAGAGTGGGAGGAAATCTTGGCAAACAGTTAACATACATCTTGCCCAAAGAGATGCATATGAATGCATATAGCCCTGTTAAAGGTTTACATAACCACTATTTATTCGGGCACTTCTGAAGAACTTAGTACTTCAGGAATCAATTGCATTCCAAATTTATACGTTTGACTAATAAAATGTTCTCTTTCTTTGGTGTTGTCTTAAAATCTAGCTTCCTGCTGCTTCTCTCTATTGATTTTAGTTATCCCATTTGAAGTCAAATTGTCAAATTGTAAAATTCAAATAACTATTTCATGTGACAGTTCTTAAATATTTAAAGACATATATCATATCTTGGCTAAGAGTTATTTTCCTCATTAAAACAAAATAACCACCAACAGTATTTTTCTTTTAAGATATAAAAAAATAAATCTTTTTTTTTCTTTTAGTAAATATATAGATGTTTTATTTGTCAAGAGTAAATGTCAGTTTTATTTAGAATATTCAAGTACAAAAAATGAAAATTTATCTATGAATGTTAAGAAATGTTAGAAATCATTAAAGTGTTGAGAATAGTAAGGCACTGAATGCAAACATCACATAAAATATGAATTATCTGCATTTTTGTATCTTTAATATTCAGATGTTCATATTTTCTTAAAAAATATTTTTAATAAAATGATTCAACCTTATTATTTTTCCCCTGGAAGGCAGAGTTTAAACAAGTATGTAATGAAATGTTTTCCTAACGAAAACTGAGATGCACCCATGTTCAAAGGTACTTTCTCATTAGAAAAAAAAAGGGTTTATATAGCTGGATGTGTTAACTTTTAAAGATATTTTGTTTCACCACAGTAATACATCAGCCACAATAAGGCATCCTGAAGCATGAAGTCATCATGTTAAATAATTTGACACAAAAGCTTAAGATCATATCACCAATAGGGTAACTGCATCAAAAATTTCAGTTCTATAAAACTATTAAGAAGTTAGAGTTTCAGCTCTATAATACATCCCAAAACATATTCCCCCAAATTTTTAGTATATATAAAAAAGGTTCATCTTGGACTATAAATGCAATCAGATAGCCCCGATATGAATGGGTTCTGTATTTTCAATGGCACTGACACTGTGCTCTTTGGTATAATGCACTGCAGTGACAATAGCTTGGTAGCAAGAGAAAAGATTCAGTCATCACAAAACAGCAACTTAAAAATTTCTAACAACAGTGAATATACATGAATATATAGGTACAAGCTAAGTATCCCTTATCCAAAATGCTAGCCACCAGAAATGTTTTGGTTCTTTCAGATTCTAGAATATCTGCATATACACAATGGGACCCAGCTCTAATTACATAGTTCATTTATGTTTCAAATACACCTTATACATATAGGCTGAAAGCAATTTATACAACATTTTTAGTAATTTTGTGCAAGAAACAAAATCTGTTTAAATTGAACCATCAGAAAACAAAGGTGTCAGGTGGGGAATTTTCCACTTGTGGGGTCAAGTCAGTGCTTAAAAAGATTCAGATTTTGAAGGTTTTGGATTTCAGATTTTTGAATTAGAGATGCTCAACTTATAATATCATTCACTCTGGCTTACATATTGACCTTGTGCTTGAGGGTACTTTTCCATAAAAATCAGTAACTGTGGCCGTTCACCAAATATAGACAAAGTGATAAAGAAAATAAATGGCGTCCAGATATACCAGTTCCCAACAGATGATGACACTATTGCTAAGATCAATGCTGCAATGAATGGACAGTTGCCGTTTGCTGTTGTGGGAAGTATGGATGAGGTAAAAGTCGGAAACAAGATGGTCAAAGCTCGCCAGTACCCCTGGGGTGTTGTACAAGTGGAAAATGAAAACCACTGTGACTTTGTAAAGCTGCGGGAAATGCTCATTTGTACAAACATGGAGGACCTGCGAGAGCAGACTCATACCAGGCACTATGAGCTTTACAGGCGCTGCAAACTGGAGGAAATGGGCTTTACAGATGTGGGCCCAGAGAACAAGCCGGTCAGTCTTCAAGAGACCTATGAAGCCAAAAGACATGAGTTTCATGGTGAACGTCAGAGGAAGGAAGAAGAAATGAAGCAGATGTTCGTGCAGCGAGTAAAGGAGAAAGAAGCCATATTGAAAGAAGCTGAGAGAGAGCTACAGGCCAAATTTGAGCACCTTAGGAGACTTCACCAAGATGAGAGAATGAAGCTTGACGAAAAGAGAAAACTTTTGGAAGAAGAAATAATTGCTTTCTCTAAAAAGAAAGCTTCCTCCGAGATATTCCACAACCAGTCCTTTCTAGCAACAGGCAGCAATCTGAGGAAGGACAAGGACCGTAAGAACTCCAATTTTTTTGTAAAACAGAAGTTCCAGAGCACAGAAGGTCATCATCACAAGCAAACTTTATTGAAAAAATAAATCTTATGTAGATAGTGATCAGACTCTATCAATGAAATCATAATGATCCACTGCTCATCTATTTAACTTTGAGAAAACCTGTTTATGGACGCTAGGCAATTACCACATCAAAGGTTTTTACGGTGCAGAAAGTCTGAACGTATGTTTAAATCCCAATAACTTATCCCCGATCTTCCCTCTTCTCCTCAAGAAGGCAATCCTTAAACCAAAGGAGAAAAGGGATGGATTTTGATGCTAATTAGGTATGTGAAGTTTGCCTCCTCCTCCTCTGATGCTTTGCATGGCCATCCCAGATACAGCAGGATTGTATCCCTAAGTGTCCCACACCCTACATCAGGAAATTAATTACCTATATTCCAGATATCATATGCAGGATGCTTCTATTTTCTATATCTTTACTTACAAGGAGCTGTGATCCCAAACCCACCAAAAGGCATCCCAGAGATGGTACTCTAAAAGCAATTAGCTGTTAATGAAAGAAACAGTAACAATACATTATATACTAATTGTAATTGAAATATACTCTGTCTCTAGAGAATATTTTCAGATACCTGACCAAGAATGGGTTTTTCTTTTTCTGATTGTGTAAATGCTCCTATTTCTGTTTGTATATCATAGTATTTGTAATTAGTAATAAATCACTGTGACATAAGGATTCTGCAACCGTTACTTGGAATATTCCTCAATATTTAAATTCAGATACATAGCAGGCTTGGTAGAACGAATCATTTTTTAATCCATTCAGAAGCTGATGAGCATCTCCTACTCTGAACCTGGTGCCATGGTGAGCACTGGGAATAGAGATAAAAGAAAGTCCAGTCATATGGAAATGGAAATAATGCAATAGTGAGAGATGAAAAGAAGGAATCAAATTACTATAAAATAGGCTAAGGGATCAGTTAGAATATCCTGGACTCAGTGCTAGAGGGGCACAGAGATGGAGGTGTATATATACATATATACATACATATATACACACATATGTATGTATGTGTATATGTATATATATATATATATATACATGTTCAGGATCAGAGAAAAGGTTAGTAAGGTAAGAGTTCTAGAGAAGGTAATAGCTAAGCTGAGTCTTAAGGGTAAAAAATGTATATAAGGCATAGTCTAGACTGCAATTTAACTGGAGAAGCAATAAATAAAATATTAATGAAAAAGGTTTGAATTGGCTAACCAGACTAAATATTATAAGCAAGGAAGATAAGAAACAAGAAGCTACATTTACAAAGCAGCTGTTTCTCTGTGTTTTGAACTATGAATGAGGTTTGAATAGTCAAGGGCAGAAGGCAAATGATGCTTCCTTTAATTCTCTCTTATACTCCCCAATTTTATTCCTTCATGACATTCATCACAAGTGAGTAATCGCTTACTAAAAATCTGTCCCACCTTCTAAGCTGTAAATTACAGAGGATAGGGGCCAGTTGTGATTTTTTTCCCATTGCATTGCTGCACTAATTGCATAGTTCTTATCACCAAGCACATATTTGTTAAATAGTTGAAGAATTAATGAATTGGATTTCATAAGATGCTAGAAAAGTAAAGTAATTTATAATATATTCATGGTTTGGTTTAGTGATGATAATTAAAATTAAAATTTGGAAGGAGCAACTGGAATTAAGGAAGGGCAAATCAGAGGGTTAAAATATTACTATTAGCATTTCAAGCAAAATTTAGAGCTTCTATGGTCTTGATTTTTTGTATAAAAGTGTTATTATGAAAAAGGTACATTAAAGAATTAACTGGGTCCTGTGACCCAAAAAATTAGAGGAGGAGTGAATAGCTAGGTGAATAGCTAGGCAGCTAGTGTCTCACTCATTCTAGTTGGAAATGGATGAAAACTATTCTAAAGTGTTTTCAGTAGGTGTGGGAACAGAGGAAGAGAATAGCTATCAAGGAATCAATTGTTTGTGAACAGGATGGCATAGATCTTATTTGGCAAGTAAGAACAGTTACATAATTTGTTGGGTCCAGGGAAAAATAAATTTCAGGGGCTCTTTTTTAAAGAGTATGAATAATCTCAAGACAGTGACACTAGAGGCTAAAGTAAGGGTGGGATCCTTCTAAGTATGGGGCCCTTTACAATAGGACAGGTAGTATATCCATGAAGCTGGATGTTGGCAAGCATCTCACATAAAGAACCAAGGAAAGAAGAAAGCAAACAAAGAATGAAAAAGAATGAAGAGATGAAGGCAAAAAAAGAAAATGTTTAGGGATTTTTATTTCAGCATATACTCAAGTTGAGTGACATATATATATATATATATATATATATATATATGAAATAACCTTTAATTTTATGGTGTGTCATATCTCTTAAGTTTAACATATAATCCCAATGAGTTATTACTGTCTTCAATTCACACTAGATGTTATTAGTTTATTGTTTTGTAGAGAAGGGGACTAGACAACATGTTTGGACCAGTGTATCAGGAAGGCTATGCTTATAGACAAAACTGATCCTCATCCTCTCTTAAAATTAGGTCCCATAATTTTAAGCTACAGATTAGAAACAACGTCCAATCAAGGCAGGTAAGCATCCCCCAAATCTACTGAATATTTCTCAGTGCAGAACCATTACATCCATGTATTAATGCTTAGAAATGGGTAAAAAAAAAACACACAAGAACATTAGAGCTTGTCAACAGAAGAAGACTAATTCAGATATTCAGATGTTTGAAAAATGTCTTATATAAAGAAGAGCTTTAAAAAAGACAAGATTTAACAAAGAAAAAGGAAGGACAAACAGGACAAATAGTACCTGCTATTGAAGGATTACTCAGAGAATCTAAAATCTTTTGAGCTACCCTAATAGGTGTCATGAAAAACAAGGAGGAATGTAATAGGAAAGAAAATTCAGTATTATGAAAAACCTTATGCCAGTTTGAGGTCAAAAAAGAAAATGGTCCATTCACAAAAATTTTAATTTTTACCTGTGTAAAGAAAAAATTGTGAAATATTTTGAAAGAGACCCAAAGAAAAAACAAAACAAAACAAAAACTACTGGCTACCCTGTCTGATGCACCCTTTTGGGTATCTCAAGCTTTTCTTGTCTTTGAGATATTTTCTAAGTACATAAATTGTAAAAACTGAAAATCGTGCAAATAATTCTTTCCATTGATGTGCAAATTTGTTGTGCCTAAATGATTATTGCCCCATAACTCCTTTTGCATGTACTTGTAAATTCTTTTTAGCATTCTAGATTTGCCTATAACGTGTGGTTCTTTGAGTATCACTTTGAACTGATTATAACATGTTACTGGTGTTAAATAAAATCTTGGAGATGTGTTCTCATTCTGTATTTGTATGAGAGTCTTGATTTTACCTTTAAATACCTTCATATTTTAATATTTTCAAGTATGCAATTAAAGCCAACTATTTTAACATCTATCAGAAACATTCTGAAAGAGATTCCTAAATTCGCAGCAGACTGAACTAAAATGTTCTCAAAGGTACCTTTGAACTCCAATAATGTCCTATATAGAAAAAAGAGAAATGATCAGAAAGAATAAATTGTTCTAATTGAGTGACTAGGTGAATGGAGGTACCATTGAAAGCCAGCAAAACAGGAAGTCCTATGGTGCCACACTGGAAGTTGCCTATAAGTGAATTCAGACTTACTGAGACTGAAGTGATAGTGGGATAGTCATGGGGAAATATATAAGACTAATAGAATTCAGGCTGAATTCTGGATGACAAAATTAGGGATCTGACTTAGAAGTTATTGACACAGAGAGAAGCACTGAAACTATCTGTGAGGATCATACCAAGAAAAATAAAGGGAAAAATTGGCAAAGAGATAACATCTGTTATTTGTAAACTATTTAGAATGTGGCTATTGTTGGAGAAGAGAAAAGCATTTATTATTTGACACAAGTTTCCATCTTGATAACTATGAATCATGGAAATCTTCATTTTTTCCATGTAGCAATGCAAGAGAACAAACAACACATATAAGATATCTTGTTTAGTTATTTTGAGTATTCTGTCTTAGAAAGTATTGACTTTCTTTTTAATTTCTCATTTTACTCTCAAGTTTTCTTAGACAAAAGGGGAATTATGATTGAATGGTTGAAGTTTTAAAAGACCTAGATAATTTTGTTAGAGTTGATCATCACTATTATGCACAAAGAATTTAAACAGGTACTTTGGCTTCTTGAGAATGGAGCTCTCAATAATTGTGTTCATAGTTGTTTGTATTCCAAGAACTCCTGAATCCAACTCCATGACTGAATTCATCATTGTAAGGCATGTGCTCATAACAAAGCTACGTATTCAATCTTCTACTTCTTTGAAAGAGGTGAAAGTATAATTCTAGTAAAACAAATATGCAGGCTTAATTGATAATTTTTATTTCTATACAGAGATTCAACAAGAGCTAAGGTGTCGCAGAGGAAAGTCACTGAAAGAGCTGACTGACACATAAAAGAAACATTTTGGTGTTTGAAGCGGGAAAGGAAGAAATAAAAATCTGTGCTTAAAGTGCCCCTTAGTTTCATTTCAAAGAGCATGGGGCCCTCATGGCTGCATGGGGCATCCACTAAAATGAGATGAATGGGAAGGAAAAACTTATGAGTTTATTGAAATTGCCATATTACAATCTGCCAAGAGTTCTGATCTATAATATCTAATGGTTTTCCACCTCCTCTGGACTCCCTCTAAAATGCTGCACTGCAGATATTCATCCTGCAATTTAAATGTGTGTATGTGTGTGTGTGTCTTTGGAGAGTTAAAAAAAATGTCCTGCTACTCCATAGATACTAGGGCAAGAAGCAGAGCATTCGTGTGCACACATCAGAATGTAAAATCAAGAATGAAATTCTTACCTTATGCTGCCACTTCTGGGCTGAATGCCCATGCTGGTTAACTTTGCCCTAAAAGTGCAGGAATTAAAAATGTGATCTGTTTATTATCTCTGAAAGAGCAAAGATAGATTGGGAGCCTCTGGGTGGTTTTGTGGTCGGAGTACTCTGCTCTTCTGCTGACAGCCT